TTAGGGCTGTTGTGCATAGGGTCGCTATGAGTCGCAAACGACTCGACGGCACATAACAACAACAACATTCTTTACTTTCAGTCAAGATCCATCTGACATCAGCAGTGATATCCCTGGTACCATGACCTCTTGTAAATCCTGCTTTAACTTCTGGCAGTTGTCTATGCTAGCCATTTTTGGATAATGTTCAGCAGTATTTTGTTTGCTTGTAATAGTAATGATCTTTTCAGTAATTCTGACATTCTGTTGTTGGATCATGGTTCTTGAGAATGGGAACAACTATGGATGACTTAAATATGCTCTTGCAAAAAACTATACCTAGACTAAGAGGCTGTGGGTCCTTGATGCAGTCTTTGTTGTCATCCCACTACATGATTTAAAATCAAGAAAGATGTGCTTTAGGGCTGTATCCTTTCTCTATACTTACTAATCTGTGTGCTGAGCAAATCATATGAGAAGCTGGACTTTTGAAGAGGAATGTGGCATCAGAATCTGAAGAATACTGATCCACAACCTGTGTTATACAGCTTTGCTTGGAAAAAGTGAGGAGGACGTGAGTGCTTGCTGTAGATTAAACCGCAGCCTTCAATACATATTTCATCTCAAACTCAAGAAAGCAAAACGCCTCACCACTGGGCCAATACGGCACATTACAATACGAAAGATTAAAGCTGTCAGTGTTTTCTTTTCACTTGGATTCACAATGAACACCATTTGTACCACTGGTCAAGAAACCTGCTATCAGCAACCTCTGTAGAGTGTTGAAGAGCAAGGATGTCAGTTTAAAAGTGAGGGTGTTTCTGAGGCAAGTCATAGTCTTTTAAATTATTTGCAATATTTATGAAAGTTGGACAATGACTAAGGATGACAGAAGAATTAATGCCTTTGAATTGTGTTGGAGAAGAGTCCTGAGGACTGCCAGGAAAAAAGATAGGTCTTGGAGAAAGTGGAGCTAGCATAAATGATAAACCTTCATCTTATATATTTAAGGCATGTTGCTGGGATAGGGTGTTCCTTGGAGAAGGACATCTAGCTTGGAAAGGCAGAGGGCTGGCAAAAGAGTGAAAGACCCTCAACTAGATGGTTTGATACATTGACTACCTCAGTGGGTTCTAGTGTGTCAGGAAATGTGAGGATGTTACAAGATAGGACAGGGTTCAGATTTATTCTTCATAGGGTCACTATGGGTCATACTCAACTTGATGGCACCTAACAACAATAGAAGGAGAGTTCTTTTGGTGAGGTGAGGCCTTATGAAAGCAAGAAGAAGTCTTTAAAATGTGTTATGCTGGAAGCCGGTTGTGAAGACGCTTGGTGAGGTGGATGACATTTTATGCTTGGTGTGGACATTTTAAGAGCAAGCCAAAATGTTATCCAATGGGCAGGCAGTTAGTGACAATTTAGATATGATGTCATTGGTTTGCTCTTTGACTACAACTTTACACTATTTACAAATAAAGAATATAACCATCGATACCTGGTTGGTGTAAACAGTTAAAATCCTCTACTGTTGACTTAGAGGTGGGAATTTGAATGTGCTCAGTAATGTCTTAAGAGAAAGGCACAGTAATTACCTCTGAGTAACCAGTCAACCCTGGATAGCACTGTGGAGCAAAATTCCACTCCGAGAAAGGTGGGTCCACATGAGTTGAAATTGTTTCAGTACCATCTGTTTTCTTTTTGTCAATATTTGGACAGTATCAGAGATTCATGGTTGAGTGCGAGGCTTCTCAGCAGGGCATGTGAATTTCTTTCTAAAGTTGAGATGTTCTCTGTGCATAACTGGATCTCTTTTCTTCTGCAGTGTCTCAGTAAGAAGCTGTGTGAAGACCCGGTTTTCCCTTGACAACCATTCCAACTAGAAGGACTTTGCTGATGTTAAAGCACTTGAGAAGCTCCACGATGCCACTGGAGATGGGACAGCCTCTAGTCCAGGTGCCACCACTGGCAAAGCCAGAAGATGCCCCACTCTCTGGACTAGGTGCTGCCCCTCAAGGGGAACTGTGCAGCCTTGAAGATGCCCGGCAGCTTTTCAGACGATTTCAGTACCAGGTGCTGTCTGGGCCTCATGAGACCCTGAGGCAACTGCGCAAGCTCTGTTTCCAGTGGCTGCAGCCAGAGGTTCACAGCAAAGAGCAGATCCTGGAGCTCCTCATGTTGGAACAGTTCCTGACCATCCTGCCTGGAGAGATCCAGACGTGGGTGCGCACACAGAATCCCAGCAGTGGAGAGGAGGCTGTGACTCTAGTGGAGAGCTTGAAGGGCGAGCCACAGAGACTGTGGCAGTGGGTAAGCAGAGGATATTGGGATCGAGGGTCCTCTATAGGTGTCTTAATGCCTCATCTACACTACTGTGTGTCTCTCAGTGTTCTGGATGGTTTGTACTTGACTATTAACCATAAAGTGGGTGCTTTGAACCCCCTAAGTAACACTATTACAAGAAAGATCTTGTCATCTACTTTCCATGAAGCTTATTGCTAAGAAGAACCCAAAGAGCTCCTCTGCTCATGGTGTTGAGTGCCATAGTGTGAGTTGGAATGAATCCTTCCACAGCTACTTTGTTTTAGATTTTTGCTATGTTAGTAACTGTCTGCACTGTAGATACAAAATTGAAATTGAAGATATAGTCTCTGGCTCCATTCTAACTTAATACTAGAATGCTTACATCTTTTAAAGTTTTTATTGGTACAAACTGTCCACCATTTAAAACCTTGTATTAGAGGTCCTTCTTGAGGGTGTTATAAATCTGGTTCAGTGCCAGCAGTTGGCCTGTTTTGTCATAGTTCCATCAATGGCTGGAATTATGTGTTGAATGAGAAAATGAAGTTTACTTCTTTACCAGTACCTTTTCCAAAGGTCTGTCATCTGTTACAGAAGATTCACTTTATGTTTTCAGGAATTACAAGTCAGTATCCTTCAATAACTAATGACCCATGATCTTTAGATCAGCAGCCAGGTTCTGGGACAGGAAAGCTCACCTGACGAAGTGGAATCTTCAAGCTGCCAAGTGAGGGAGGTAGAGGCCAGTCTTGAAGTGATGTCTCAGGAGCTGGGACTTGAGAATTCAGCCTCAGGGCCTGAGGAGCAACTGAGCCACATCATCAAAGAGGAAGCTGACACTGAGCCGGAGTTAGGTGAGAACCAGTTATTATTCATGGCTGTATTGGAGGCTTTGGAGAAAGTTAGGGCTCTTGGCTTTCTGAGTTGAAAGTATGTTCAGATTAAAATGTCCTTTGGAATTTTGGGGCCAAAGTCGATGTCCACAATTCACCCTGATTAAAAGATTCAGTATGTTCATTTCAACTTTATATTTGTATTAGAGCATTTGAATTTGGGACCCAAGGAAGGAGAGGAGGCAGTATTTGGGTGAGTCTCTGGGATGTTAGAAGAATTTGGACTTTGTTAGATAGGCAAGTGCAAATCTTGAAATTGTGTATGGAAGTATCAATTCTAATTTGTGAAATATTTTCTTTTTGCCTTTTTTTAATCAATGCTCTCTGTGGAATGACTGAGGAGGACATCTAAATTCTTAAAACTTCCTGTTTCTTACTTCAGTGATGGCTGCTCCTCAGCTTCTTCCTAGACCTGAGGAAAGGCTCATCAGCGACCAGGACTCTGAAGGCTTCCTTCTTCAAGCATCATCTCAGGTGAGCGAAGTTTCTCTGCCTTTTTTGCCTCTGACCCAGTTTTAATCATTCACCAGTAGTCAGGAGAACTTAAATGAGTGCCTTGGCAGAAGAAGTACAGTGGAGAACAGGTCCTTGCCAGAATAACAGGAATCATACACATAAAGAGAAACTTGAATATCAGTATTTCTCTCAGGTCTTCTCAAGGCAGAAAAGAAAAAAAATTTAAGAAAACATCTTTATTTTAGAAATTTGGATAGTACCCAGTGTTGTGCCATCAAGTTGCTTGTGACTCCTAGCGACCCTATGTACAAGAGCCCTAAAGGCCGCTCTATCCTGTGCCAGTCTTGCTGTATCAAACACACTTATTCCCACCATCCCAGTCACAGAATTGATCCATCTCATTGAGGGTCTTCCTCTCCTGTGCCATCTCTCCACTCTCCCAAACATGATGTCCCTCTCCAAGGACCAGTCCCTCCTTGCAACATGCACAAAGTATGTCAGACAAAGCTTTAGAATCCTTGACTCCAAGAAGCATTCTGGCTTCACCCTCTCTAGGACAAACCTGTTTGTTCTCCTAGCAGTCCATGGTACATTCAACACTCTTCTCTAGTACCACAGCTCAAAGGCATCAGTTCTCTTTCTGTCATCCCTAGTCACTGTCCAACTCTCCAATGCATAGCATGTAACTGCAAAGAACTATAGCCTGGATCAGGTGCACCTTAGTCTCCAGCCTGACGTCGCTGCTCTTCAGTACTCTTGAGAGGTCCCTCACAGATGACTTTCCCGATGCAATTTGTCTCTTGATTTCCTGACTGCTGCTACCAAGAGTGTAGACTGTGGAGCCAAGTAAACTAAAACTGTTAACTATCTCAATCTCTTCATCATCCATTCTGATGCTGCCAATTGGCCCAGTGGTGAGAATCTTTGTTTTCTTGATGTTGAGCTTCAATTCGTATTGAAGGCTGCAGTCCTTGACCTTCTGCAGAAAGCGCTTTAGGTCCTCCTCAGTTTCAGCAAGCAGGGCTGTGTCATCTGCATAACACAGGTTGTTGATGACTCTTCCACCAGTCCTAATGCCACATTCCTCCTCATACAGCCCAGAGTCTCAGATGATCTGTTCTGCATACAGATTGAAAAAGTATGGAGACAAAATGCATCCTTGACGGACTCCCTTGATTTTGAACCATGTAGTGTCTCCTTGCTCTGATCTGACAGCTGCCTCTTGGTCCAAGTATAGGTTGCAAATAAGCACAATCAAATGTTCTGCTAGTGTATGTTGTTGTTGTTGTTATGTGCCGTCGAGTCGTTTGTGACTCATAGCGACCCTATGCACAACAGCCCTAAACCCTGCTCTATCCTGCACCAACCACACCGCCTCTGACACACCCATCCCGATTACCCCAGTCACCGAATCAATCCATCTCATAGAGGGTCTTCCCCTCCTGCGCTGTCCCTCCA